TCATTGCTCAAAAGGTGTGGAAACTCAAAATATGAACTGTGAACCAAAGTGTTTATTTCTCAGCAGTTTTGGTGTGACTTGTTGAATATATTTATTGTATTGGAAATGTCACCATGAATAAAAGGGCTTATGAATTCAATATTCACTCAGATCCGCAACCTTGATAAAATGACTGTTGATGTCAGATGCTATATATTAGCTACACATTACGCATGCTTTTAAGAAAAAAAGGGAGAGGAAAAGATAGGATAGTGAATGACAACAGGACATTTCAAATCGTCACACACACACACATACACACAGGTTTGTTTTTGTGAAAAGTGGGGACATCCCATAGGCGTAATGGTTTTTATACTGTACAAACTGTATGTGCTATTGCCCTACACCAACCCTACCCCTAAACCTACCCCTTACAGAAAACTTTGTGCTATGTCAGATTTTCAATACACTCCATTCTGTGTGATTTATAAGCGTTTTGAAAAGTGGGGACATGGGGTAATGTCCCGAAAAGTCACCTTCTCCTTGTAATACCTATGTCATACCTTTGTCATTATACAAATTTATGTCCTCATTTGTCACAAAAACGCGCGCGCACACACACACACACACACACACACACAACCCTGAGGCCAGAGCTTTATGGCTGACTCCACTGTTCCAGTCTTTCTTTATGGAGACATCAGCATCTTATCTTTAGTTAAACAAATGCAGGCAGCTTTCTTTCTTTCTTTTTCTTTTCTTATTCGTCCTCACTCTCCAATTCTTGCTGTCTATCTCTCTGACAGAAGAAGGGATGATAGAGGGTATTAATCTCAGTCCATTCTCGTTGAAAGTGCCGCATCTCCGGTAATGAGACACATCATTTATCTGCCTGTTCTCTGCGTGTCAGGCAGAGCCACGAGAAACATTTGTGTGTGTTTGAGGGAGAGTTGAACGTGTGTGTGTCAGGAACGCGTGGCAAAGAGAGAGAAGGTATGAGGGACTAGGTGTGCTGCGAACTGCGCGAAAAAGTGTGTTTGCATATGTTTATGTGCGCGTGTGGCACCTTCTCAGTTCACTCCAGGCACTGTGAGAATCAAACAATTTCATGCAGCGAGCAGAAGGGGAAATGAACTGAGCCGTGAGCCATAATAAAATTATCCAAATGTTATTATGGCGCCGGCTGCCTCTGTCCTACTTTAATACACATTTCAGCTCCTCCGGGTCTCCTGCTGGCACTAGCCCTGCTGAATAAATCAACATTAGCTTATGTCTAAATTATTAAGGAAGTGACTTAGGCTCCTGTTTATTGTATAAATTATTAGGAGGGTGAAAGTGTTAAATGCTTGATTTGCCATTTACAATTCAAAACTCCCTAAGAAACGGCTATTTCTCGGAGTTTCCGCATGCTGTGCTTGTGTGATGCATGTATGCGCGCGCGCGTGACTGCGAGAGAAGCACACTGTAATGAGTGTATGCGTGAATGTGTGTGTATTTGCAAGAATATAAATCCCGGAAGTTGACACGATAAGGTGAGAATGAAAAGGGCATTGTTTTTCGTCATTTTAAAACTTTAATTATAAAACGGATTGAAATTCTGATTGGCTAAGCCGCACTCCAAGTCATTTTAAATGCTGATAAAAGCACATAAGCAACTACATGTTAAAGGGTTAGTTCACCCAAAAATGAAAATTCTGTCATTAATTACTCACCCTCGTGTTGTTCCAAACCGTAAGACCTTCGTTCATCTTCGGAACACAATTTAAGATATTTTTGATGAAATCTGAGGTCTCTGCCCCTCCCATAGACAGCAAGGTAACTACCACGTTCAAGGTTCAGAAAAGTACCAAGATGATTGACAAAGTAGTCCGTGTGACATCAGTGGTTCAACTGTAAAGTTACGAAGCTACGAGAATACTTTTTTGCGCAAAGAAAACAAAAATAACGACTTTATTCCACATTTTCGTCTCTATTGCGTCACTTGTGGACGCGCGTTCACGACAGTATCATGACGCGAGTGTCGGACCCAGATCCGGCGCGATGATGTTATTACCGCCGCCACACGCTCGCGTCATGATACTGTGATGCAGTAGAGACGAAAATGTGGAATAAAGTAATTATTTTTGTTTTCTTTGCGCAAAAAAGTATTCTCGTTGCTTTGTAACTTTACAGTTGAACCACTGATGTCACACGGACTACTTTGTCGGTCATCTTGGTACTTTTCTAAACCTTGAACGTGGTAGTTACCTTGCTGTCTATGGGAGGGTCAGAGCCCTCAGAGTTCATCAAAAATATCTTAATATGTGTTCCGAAGATGAACGAAGGTCTTACGGGTTTCGAACAAGATGAGGGTGAGTAACAAATGACAGAATTTTCATTTTTGGGTGAACTAACCCTTTAACGGCTTTTAAAATTAGGAATAAACACATTGAATGCCACTATTTGACAAATAGACTATCAGTGAAACAGACAATATTAGGCTACACCTATTTCTGCGAGTTAGGCATAGGCTCTAGTCTAAACAATAACATAAAAAAACAAAAACAACAAAAAAACAAAACAAGGAGTGTGATTCACTGGTGCACATTAACAGCACTTTTAATGAGCCAGATCGTTATTGCTTTCCTATAGACCTTAGTCAGGGTAACGCCATTTTAAAAGTTTTGACAGAAATGAAAATGAGGCTGTGAGGGAAATAAGTAGGCCTACATTCGTTCAGTGGACTGCTACATACTGAGATGACAAAACAAAACGTCTTTCTAAAAAGTCCATAAAACAGTTTTGAAATGTGTAAATTGTGAAAATTACTTGATATGTGACCTTTATACGATGCGTGTCTTTGTAAAATCTGTAAGTCTCTCTCACAGCCTGATTTTCAACTATGTTAAATTCAATATGGTGTCTAACCTGACTAAGGTCTATACACTACAAGTTAGGTTAATGAACTATTGGCAGCAGATATAAGATTTATGAATAAACAACACAATTAAAAAATGTTTTGCTACTACAATTTACTTTTTGACAATACAATTTGTATTGTATACTATTCAATAAAATTTTATGAAAACTTCATTGCAAAAGTTATAAAGACAGTATCTTGTGATACTGATTAGTGCTTTATTTTCAGTCCACAAGGTCAAATATAAAATGATTTTGTTATGACACATAAGTTCAGTTGAGGTGACCTGTCCAGAGACAGAAAGCTAAACATAAATACATAATGAAATCAGGTAATAACTTTATCAGGGCTTGAGACTGGCCCTGGTAATGTTATATTGTGCCTGTTTTCTTTTATTTATAATTTCAGTCACTCAAAGACACTTTCCAGAAAGGCCAGAAAGTTTTGCAGAAGAAGACCTCTGTATTTAGGCTAAAACGAAGTCTTCAGACTATTTAACACTCAAACCCAGGTTTGTGTATACAATCAGGAAGATCAGAGTGTCATTCTTGAAGATGTAGACACAACCTTCCACACACAGCCCATCACTTTAATTTGTCTCCAGGAATATTCATTGGGCTGCTTAATATTACACAAAACCACAGTGAGAGCAAGCATGAATATTCACTTTTGTGTGTGTGTGTATGTGCATACACAAGAACATATCCAAACCCTGAAATAACACTTCGAACAATAAGCCAGTGTCATCAGTGTCAGAAATTAACTTTCACATAAGGGGCAACTGATTTTCTTTTTTTTCTTTTTTTATTTATTTTATTTAATTTTTTTACCTTTTACCTTTTTTATGTCATTTTTAATGTTAAATTCTTACATTAAATAAATTAGAATAATATGACAATAGGCTGATTCACTTTTGTGTGTGTGTGTGTATGTGCATACACATGTATGTTTGTGTGTGTGTGTTTCTTACGTGTGCATCGGCCTAAATGACTGACTGTGCTTTTGCAATTTTCATCACTTGTTTTGGTGTTTAATATCTGTAATGACTTGTGAGTCTGTGAAGTTGGATTAATGCACACTCAGTCCAAAAGGCTTTGATGCTGGTAGTCAGTAGTTTGGGTAGCTTTCTATGTGCGTTATGATGGAGAATCTCCTTTGTAGTCACATGGGAAAATCAATATTTTAACAGACTAACTGCTGAGTTTTTTTCTTTCCCCAATTAATTTAAATGGAGCAATTAAGATTTAAATTTCCATAAATAGCTGAGGGAGGGATTGAAGATTGGGGGGGGGCTGCCTCTGTTACAGTCAAAAGCCTTGGGATTAACCACCTTCTTAATTATAAATAAAAATATAAACAGTGCACACTCTTCCTCACTCCCTCCCATTCTGATTTATACACATACACAGCAGGATTCCTGCACTTTTTAACCAATGAATTCACAGGATTTATCCATGATTTTCGATTGCAAAGACGACTGCAAATATAAAGAACTAATTATTGCCAACACATTTTAAACCCATTATATTCAACAGAAATTACTTAAAAAAAAATTATGATTTCTATGATTTTTTTCAAGTCTTAACATCAAACAATACACAATACACACAAACTCATGCTCTAGGAAGTAAAAGAAAGGATGTGCTATAAAAGTGAAACAGGCCAGCAGAAGGAGAATGACTTGGCAAACTGCATGTCTTCTGCATTCTACAAGACAGTCTTGGTTTGATCACTCACCAGAGAAGAGAGGAGCTAAACACTCCCTGAAACAATATCAGCAGAAATCAGGCGCTCCTCACTAACATAAACAAATGTGCTTCAGCATTACTGGAGTTTCAGGCTAACGACGCAATTTAAGGTTGTGCTGCCCTCTGCTGATAAAGAGATGTAAACGCAAACAAGAATGATAGAAGCTCTTTATTTTTTTTACTTTTGAGGGTGAAACCGGCTTCCATAAGGCATTCCAGTTCCTTTTTTTAAATAATAATATAATATAATATAATATAATATAATATAAATTTCAAATAATTATGGAAAAATTAATATACATAACATGTTAACTTTAAGTATCCAACACATTAGTTAAATAATAAGCCTAAAATAACATACTTTTATAACAGGTTGGCAATTAATATGAAAGAACTGAGACAGTGATTATGCTTGATTGTATAAAAAAAAGAAAGAAAAATTAATCTAAAACATAACACTAGTAACATTTTCCATTGATTACATGTTTTCGCGAGAGTATGAGAATAAGTAAAGGTGGATGGACACAATATGAGTGATTTTAACAAGTAAAATCATAGGTGGACAAATTTTGGGCCGAAAACATTCAAAGGTATAACATTAATAGCCTTAAAGACAAACATAACATATAAAAATACTCAATACAACATCAGATACAAAAAGGGAGAAGGTGAAGACAGAAATAAAATCATAAGCAGACAAATCATGCATTTTCAACTCAAATAGAAAATAAAACTCAAGATACAACATTCATAACCTTAAAGAAAAACAAAACTATAAAAATACTCTAAACAACATAAGATTTGAAAGGGAGAAGATGAGGACAGAAGGGGTCAATTCATAGAGAGTGCACTGAGAAGGAAAATGATCTGCATTACTATGGTGATGCTCTAATCTCAACCCTGATTGCCAGGTAATAACCCGTAGACCAAACAAAAGCGTTATATTTGCTTAGATGTGAGAATCCCATTTAGTTATTGATTCAGTAGTTGATGAGGTGCATCTGCTAAAGGATGTTCAGTGACTGACTAAAATCTTCAAAGTGGATTCTATTGGATATGAGATCTATGGCCTGTGACTGGCATACAAGGAAGAGCGTTTTAAGCGAGACCATTAGGCGGTTCGTAGCTCATTCTTCATGATTAAAGTCAAGTGTTGTGAGTCATTCAGTAGAGGATCTGTGCACAAACACAGAGTGTGACTCTAGATCAGATCCGTCTCTTTGAGCTCATTAATGCTGTAAGTGTTGTGCTGTTCCTCCTCAGTGCCTCTCACTAGTCATACAGACGATAGCACCTCTCCAGCCGACTCCCTCTCCTTCTCTGTCCTCTCCAGGTCCAGCACTCTGATCGCTGCCTGCTTGGCCATGAGCCGAGCTTGATCGCTGGGGTATGAATCTGTGTCCACCACCCGATACGGGTCGATTTGGAAGGGGCTCTTGGAGAGGACGTCAGCATAGCGTCGCTTCAGGTCAGGGTTGGGACAGAATAGATATTCGTACACAGCTGCAGCCAGGATGCCCCCTATTAAAGGACCCACCCAGTACACCTGAGAGAGAGAGAGAGAGAGAGAGAGCGAAAAAGTAAAACAATAACTCTTGTTCAAAAACACGGTGGGGTCTGAAACTTTGAGACGACATTCAAAACCATTAATTTATCTAATTTATATACTGTAGAATTTTTTTTAAAGAAATGTCATGATGTAAATTTTTATAAAAAATAGTTCAAAATCTGTACCAATATATAATTAGGATTTTTTAAAAGTAACTTCTTTTAATTTAATTTATTAGTTAATGAAACCATTTACTCATATTGTTTTAGTATTTTGAAAAAAAAAAAAGTCAAAAAATTTTATGATTTTAAATTAATAACAAATATTTCAGATTCGGAGTAAATTTAGACTTTCTTTTAATAATTTATTTTCATTGAATACAATTCAGTGCATTCATTATTATTTTTTTATTCAAATTTATTCAAATTAAAGAAATATTATGATGTTAAATGAATAACAAATATATCAGATTCTGCACTAATATATAATATTTAATATTTCTTTTAATAATTTCTTTTAAATTAAATTAAATTAAATAAATATTTTCGCTCAAATTGTGAGATTTAGGATATAAAAAAACTAAAGAAATGTTATGATGTAAAATTAATAAGATATATTTATAATTATGCACCAGTATATAATATTTAAGATTCTGTACAAATACGTAATATTTAAGATTGAGTTTTTATGAATTTATTACATTAATAAATGAATGAAATAAACTTTTCACTCAAATGGTAAATTCTGAATAAAATGTTATTAGGTAAAATTAAGAAATATTAAAGATTCTGCACCAATATATAATATTCAATATTTTCTAAATTCATTTATTTTAACTAAATTTCAGTTAAATATTTAAACTTTTTACTCAAATTATTACAGTAATATTATAATCTTGCAATGAAAAATGTTTTAAATTAAAATGAAGAAAACAAAAACATTTTCACTCAGACTTCTGACTTCCACTGTGTCTTATTATTACTACTATTTTGTTTAAATCTCAGCATTATTTTGTAAATATTACAGTATAAAGTGTCTTTCCTTTCCTTTCCTTTGTTATAATTTCAGCCCAGTAAATAATCTGTCCTACTCTTATATATCCTCTTATATGTCTGATATATGCATGTTATCAGTGTTGACCAGGATATTGACTTCAAAACTGTGCCAAAACTGGATTACCAACTGCTGTGATGACAGAAATAGAAGTGGGTGTGACCCACTGCATAGCACAGGACAGATACGTTTACCCTTCACAACCCTGGACAGCGCTGTGCAAAACCTGTGCCCAAAAATGCAGTTCATTTGGTTTATCTCATTATTTCCAAACTATAATATATACAGTATAATGATCACCAGCAGCTCTCATTAGTGTAACAGTACCACTTTGGCCTTCACGTTGCTTCACCCCTGATGTATTTCTTTCATTCATAATCTCTAAAATCTTTAATTGATGAAACTCATACCAAAAGGGCACCGTGTATAGCCTGCTGCAAGTGCGGTAAACACTGCATGAAAGAAATGTTTTGACCTTTCTAATGTTACAGCGCCAGTGAGGAGACCCTGTATCAAACGTGATGACAGCAGCAGTCACTCAGATGCGGCACTCATGATGAAACATAACGCTCATATGTGCATGTAGGGAGCACACCAGTCAGTGTCATGTACCGGTGTTATTTTGAATGCCACATCTGTCTGGCTTCTGACTGCTGTGCAATATTTCAAGCAGAATGACATTTAAACCCACAAGCAAAAGAGCTGCAGTATATGCACTGGGCGCTGGCAATCATAACCTATCTGATATTCAGTACAACAGCAGCATCGAGATTATAGTGCAGTTCAAGAATTGTTAAGATACACTGATATATTCAAAATGAATTAAGCCAGTATTTCAAGCTTTATGCCAAAGGTCTGTGGTCGTCAGAGATAAACGCCTTGTTGTTCCAAATATAGTTCAGTCTCCTTTGCAAAAGTGAAACAAAGCCAAAATGTTCTTCTTAAATACGTTTTGGCACTGAATCAAATTCTTGTCAGCTTCACTTTTATGAACCACAGTTCTAAAGGCCTTGCTGACCTTCAATCTTTATGCACATACATATCACTGTAGGAATTAGCAAGAACTTAATGAGCATTGCTTATCTACATGCAGAAGATAGTGTGTAAATCTTACCCAATGGTCCTGCCATTTTGCCATGATGACCGCAGGCCCAAAAGAGCGAGCTGGATTCATACTGGCTCCAGTGTACGGGATCTGAAACAAACACACAAAACTTGTTACACTTTTATGAACTTGCATGTATTTTGAAACAATGGAAAAACATGCCCAAACTCCAAAAAGTACTTATCATTTATTGCAGTTTCCAGCTGAAATGAACACTACTGCAAGTAAAACACTAACAACTTTTAGCTCTTTTCGCATAAATTATGATTATGGGGCAGATTACTAATTAATATGACTTATTATTGTGGGGTTTCTTGCAAATTACTATGTAATGAGCTCAAAAGACATTTACCATGTTTTGTAAACTAATACATTTTGACATTTGCATCACAACCAGCACCATATGTATGGCTTTTCTGACATAGTGAACTTGCTTGGTAGCGCACCTGGTGCAGGACATGTGTACAAGTCCTGTCACTCAATAAAACTAGAAATAGGTTAAATTGGCATTGTTACTTCAGAAAGTGTGTATCTCACATTTGCCTATGTTAACACTAGCCGGGTTTACATTACAGATTTGTGCAAAACTTTTGCGATATTTTATAAATGTCGATGAAAAAACTATTGCAAAATGACGGCGTTTCCATTAAAGGGGTCATACTATGCGATTTCAATTTTTCCTTTCTCTTTGGAGTGTTACAAGCTCTTGGTGCATAAAGAAGATCTGTAAAGTTGCAAAGACTAAAGTCTCAAATCCAAAGAGATATTCTTTATGAAAGTTCAGATTTAACCACGCCTACCTAAAACGGCTCGTTCTAACACGCCCCCACATATCTACCTCACTATGTGGGAAGATTTGCATAACGCTGCCCAAATGTTCACGCAAAGAAAGAAGGCGTAACTTTCAGTCTCACTGTAGTATTGTTGCCGCTGCCGCCATGATGTGAAGACGCTGTGTGCTTCGTTGTGAAAGCGAAACTACTTTGTTTGGTCTTCCAAAAGAAGACGATATCCGCTTCATCATGCCTACAGCTGATCTGTGCTGGTCGCTGAGGGAATACATCAACTTAGTGCTGTGGATCGCCGGATCGGCTTTCACCGTGGACGAAGCGGAGTCCAGCCCGGGGGTCGTCACATGTGGTTGCCGCTCCTTCGATGAATCCGCCGGGCGCGCCGTTCTCGACCCCGCCGCCTCTGCTCACTCTAGCCCGGCCTCAGCTCACGCTAAGCCGCAGCTTCCGCTCACGCTAGGCACAACCGTGTTTTTCGTTGTGAAAGCGAAACTACTTTGTTTGGT